AAGCAAGGAAGTACTGCTCTACGCTACAAGGATTGACCTCAAAATCACTCAGTGAAAGAAGCCAGACACAAAAGGCTTTCACCCCATTAGTACGAAATGGCCAGAAAAGGCAAATTTACCAAGACACAAAGCAGATTAAGAGGGAAGAGGCTGGGGTAGGAATGGAGCTAGAATCCTGGCTTCTTTCTTGATAGAGGAGCTCTAAAGTTAGGTCACGGGGACATTGCGCACTAGGTAAGCTTTGCACTGAAGCAGGCTGATGCTATGGCGCCGGGATCTCAGGGCGATAAAGCTGCAAGTGAGGAGCTCCTCGGAAGGAGAGGGGGCTTGGGTGGCCCGGGCCGGCCCGACTGGGCAGGAGGGTACCACTCTTTCTCTCTGTGGATACATTTGAATTTGATTCAACCAATCTGTGTTGAAGGAATCACTATTTTATGGAATCCTTCCCAACTCCACAAAAATACTTCTCATGAGTTTCCGGGACAGCAGAGTCAAAGTCCAGGCAGCAAATGAATGCATCAGGGCTCCCAGGCCCCAGACAGGCCCAGTCCCGGCCACCTGAGCCAAGTGGGAGGATGCTGGGACTCTGTAATCCTCGTCACCCGTGGAAGGGACGCAGGAGGCCGTGCTGCCATGAAAGCCACCCAAGAGGGCTGTCATCCCAGTGACAGACATGGGTCCCTGGCGCTGGCCGCTGTGGAAGCCATACAGGTGCACCTTGTACTTGTGGTCGGGCTCCAGCCCCGAGACGGTGACCTGGTCCTCGTGGCCGGGTCCCCGGTACTGGATGCTGAATGCATCGAAGTGGCCTTGGTCGACTGTCCAGGACAGGCTCAGGGAGTCCGGGGACGTGTCTGTCACCGTCAGCTCCCCCAGGAGCGGCTCCTTGGGGGGCTCTGGGGCCTCTGTGCTGGGTTCTGGGGGTCTGGGTCTCTTCTCCTCTGGGGCTGAGAAGGGGACACATAGGGAGAGGTAGCTTCCAGGGGACATCCTCAGGGCTCAGGGACAAGGGGAGAAAAGAGTGGCCACTGCTGGGGACCAGCGCTCAGGGCAGAGCAGCCACCTGGGGCCGGGCGGTCACCAGCACAGCCAAGGCCTCAACTGCTCCCTGCCCAGGGACGGAGGTCATCCCAGGAGGACGCAGGGCCACTCCTCAGCCCCACGCAGCCTCACTGCTTCCTGCTCAGCATCTCCAGAAGACGAGGGGCTGAGCCTCCCACTGGGTCCCCCGGGGTTCCCAAGTCCCCTCACCTGTCACCCCGGTGACAGACACGGGGCCCTCGCGCTGGCCGCTGTGGAAGCCATACAGGTGCACCTTGTACTTGTGGTCGGGCTCCAGCCCCGAGATGGTGACCTGGTCCTCGTGGCCGGGTACCCGCAGCACCTTGGGCTGCCCGTCCCCGTTCCTGTACTGGAGCAGGAAGTGGTCGAAGTGTCCCTCGGGGACCGTCCAGGAGAGGCTCAGGGAGTCCGGGCTGGCGCCTGTCACCACCAACTCCCCCAGGTGTGGCTTTAGGGGCGGCTCAGCGGTTGTGATGGGGGTTTTCCAGAACTTATCCTCCTCCTCCTGTGACACTGAATGTGCAAAGAGACAGGAATGAGAGGTGGCTGCATCCCAGGGGACCACTGTGTCCTGTGGACCCTCCCAGCCATCCAGAAGGAGCACAGTACACAGTCCCTGACGCTCACTGGTCAGGGCCTCAGTCTGGACAGAACCCACACGCTGCCCACCATGGAAACCATACAGGGTCACCAGGTAGCTGTGTTCTGGCTCCAGGCCACTGAGCGTGACGCCACGCTGGTAGCCCTCTGTGCTGACCACTTGGGGTCACCCATCTCCATCTGCATACTGGCCCTCAAAGAGTCCAGGTTCCCCTCTGTCACCACCCAGGAAAGGCGCAGGCTGTGTGGTGAGGCCTCCTCCACCAGTAGTTCCCCAAGGGGAGGCAGGGCTGCCTTGGTGTTCCATGCCTCTGGTTTGGCTGTGGTGTCTTCCCTGGGGGCTGAGAAGAGTCAGGAGACAGGTGACCTCAGCCAGTGTGGGGTGGGGAAGGCAAAGGCCTGGATTTTAAATGCATTACACAAGAGTAAGGGTCCAAATGCAAACTCCGGTGCAACCTGGGACTGTGTTAAGAACGGTGCAAAAAAAGGCCAACCACACTAATGTAAAGCAGAGGGGTCCCCGGGCATAGTGGCGCACGCCCGTCATCCCAGCACTCAGGAGGCCGAGGCAGGAGGGTCATGGTGAGTTTGAGACCAGCCTAGACTACGAAGTGAGCTCAAGGCCAGCTAAACTGCGTAGTAAGACCCTGTCTTTAAAAAAAAAAAGCAGAAGGCTTGTTAAGAGGGACTGGGGCTGGGGGAACTCAATGCAAAAGAGCACAAAGAAACTTTATGAAGTCAATGGAAACGTTTTTGTAACAGGATCTTGCTATGTATGCCAGGCTGGTCTTGAACTCAAGGTGATACTCCTGCCTCAGCCTCCAAGTGCTGGGATTACGGGGGTGTGCCACTCCGGACAGTGGAGACTTTTTATCTCCCTGTAGCAACTGGTTTTTATTTATACATTTTTCCAAACTCTGTGGTACTGGTATAAAGTATGCCTCAGTCAAGCAGGTCCCTTCCCGCAAAAGACACCAAGGCCAGGGTGGCTCAGCTGGACCACGGAGACCAAGAAGTGGCCTAGGTGTCCCGGCCACCATGCACTCACCAGTCATGGCGATGGTGGAGAGGGGCCCCACACGCTTGCTGTCATGCAGCCCGTAGAGCAGCAGCTTGTACCTGCGCCCGGGGTCCAGGCCTGAGACGCGGATGTCCCTGAGGCTGCCGTCCACGGGCACCACCTGGGGCTGCCCATCCCTGTCCCTGAACTGGACCACGAAGGAATCAAACTGGCCCTCGGAGACCGTCCACGAGAGGCCCACGGAGTCTGCAGTCACGTCAGTCACCTGCAGCTCCTCCCCTAGGCGAGGTTTCGGGGGGCGCGGCTCTCCAGGGGCATCCACAGCTCTCAGGGGTTCTGGGTTGGGGACATGGGAGGAAAGGCTGAGTGTTTGCAAGCAGCTGGGGCTGGGAGGGAGGCCAAGAGAGGTGGGAACTGAGGCTACTGTTCCTCACCTGTGGTGCCATCAGCAGTGAGGGGCCCAAAGCGCCTCCGGCCCTGGAGGCCGTACAGGAGAAACCTGTACTTGCGGCCCGCGTCCAGTGAGGAGACAGTGACTGAGCGCATGTGGCCTTCCACAGGCAGTGCCTGGGGCCCGTCCTTGCTCTTGAATTGAACCACGAAAGAGTCGAAGTGGCCCTCAGGGACTGTCCAAGACAGGCGTAGGGCATCTGGGGTGGGGTCCGTCACCCACAGCTCCCCAAGGCTGGGTGGGGCCTCCGAGCTGGTGTCACCTTGGGCAACTGACAGAGCAAGGATTTTGTTTTTTTCCAATTTTTTTTTTTTTAAACTCACTCCAGCTAGGTCTGGAAAATTCCAGAAATCCCAAATGGCCAGCACTACCCCCAATGTCCAAATGTTACCACTGTTCTCTCATCCCTGCCACCCTCCTGGGAGAAGTCTCTTGTCCCGATTCACCCCAACGAGGCTCTCAGCCCCCAAATGCTCCTTCCTCTACCCTTCTTGGGGACCAAGGCATAGCTTGGCAGGGACACAGTCCCATTGCACTATGTGACCCACAGGCCCTGGGGCAAGATAGCAAGTGGGAGCAGGGTGCTGGGAGGGATGGGGAGCCCCGTCCAGAAGAAGCCGCCCCAGCCCCAGGAAGGAGCTGGCCTGCTGCCCTCCTGGACAGCACAGATGCTGGCGGCATTGTTCTTGTGAGCAGTTTCTAGCAACTGGGAGCCCCCAGCCCAAAAGGGGGTACAGCGAGAGGGGTCTCCCGGCTCTGGTCCCTCAGGGAGGATTGGGGGGGCGAGAGGCAGAAGGGAGAAAGTGTCAAGCCCGCAAGGCCCGGGAAGCAGGCAGTGTGCTCTCACCCCCGGGACCCTCTTCCGGCAGCCCCGTTCTAGCAGCCCCCGAGCCCCTCTTCCAGCAGCCCCCGTGCCCCTCTTCCGGCAGCCCCATTCCAGCAGCCCCCGAGCCCCTCTTCC